CCTCGTCCTCATTTTGTCCTTCGGGATGTCTTCTCCGATGGTTTTCTCCAGAGTGGCTGTGTTCATGGAGCTTTGTGACCCCATTTGGTGGAGCCTGGTGTCCCCGAAAGGGAGCGTCACGACCTGCTGGTGGTGGAGGGGGCTCTTGTTGAGCTAGTGGGAATGGAGGGAACTGGTGAGTCCGTATCCATTCCAACAACTCCTGGTTCTGTTTCATATGTTGCATCGTGGTTCGGTGAAAGGTATCCATTCCCTCCATAATGGAAAGGTTTGTCGTTGTGAAGTGGTTTTCAGCGTCCACTTCAAGAATCAGGGGATTCTCTGGTAGGTTCTGGTAGGCTTGAGGGTTGGCAAGAGCTTTAATCATAATCCGAGTTGAAACCATCAAATAGAAATCAGATAAGGAAACGATAAAAACCGTTCCCACAGACGGCGCCAACTGATGGTGCTCGGATTTTGTGACCCAAGCCCGATCAAGGTTGGATGGTGTTATGAAAATGGTTTTGCAGATGATGGATTAATCTTTTATGAACAGTTAGACAGGGAATATAAGTGGTTCACCTTAGCCAAAGGACTAAGGCTATGTCCACTATCAACGGAGTCTCTTGCTCGCTGGGATTGTATATTCATCGGCTGGCAAAGTGCCTCTAGTAAATTGAGACTCGGGGTCCACTTACAAAGAATGATTATCTAGGTATTCTCTCTCAGTTTTCTACGCTCATTTGCTCTCAAATGTTCCCGGATTTTTTCAGGGGTGATCAAGTCTCTTCTCTTGCCTGGGTTATCGTTATATATTTATACTAGCTCCTCTTAGGGTCTCCAACTGTCGTTTCCTCTAACCCCCTCCTGCTTCTTCTGCTACCACGATCAATGTTCATCCAGCGTCCCTGTTCATCCGGCGTTGCCGTTGCCATGATCTCTGGTGGCTTGGTGCTCCACCTTATCTAAGATTGTCGTAGGTATCAGGGGTGGTCCCCCTGGATGCATGGTCCCCTCTGTCCATCCAGAAATAGCTTAGAATGGGCTTTTACTCCCCAAACCGCTTTATGGTTTGGGCTGGGCCTGGACTGCTGGGCTATAAGCTTTTTGCTGATGCCAGGTCTCTCTTCTCTGCTCCGGGCCTCTTGGACTGGTCAAGCTTCTAGACCACTAAGGCCCTAGCCGTGAATTTCGTCCATATCAATTGTAATAGCTAGCAGTCCCATTGGTACAACAAGACCCATTTTGTCATCAGAATGGAGTAGCGTTGTTGTAAATTTCTATCTATACAATCTGTTATTTACCCAAAAAGAAAAACTTAGGTATTTTAGCAATATTATACGGACCTAATTTTATGATCTAATTTAAATGCAATCATTAAATTAATAATGAATTTCAATTTTAAATAGTTCGACTCTCAATCTAACAGTTGTAATTCATTCGATTCTTTGATTAAGTCTTTAAATTAGATATAAATAATAATCGCTAGAAAGGAATTCTTACAAAAGCACCTTTATGATTTAATTATTTTAGATATCTACAAAGCCATGTTAATGTAATTTGTATTCATTCTTGTTCGTCTCTTGGAATCACATCCAGCACTGGTTGGAACAGCTTGCAAAATCCAACCACTTGACCTACTTGATTGACCCCACTCATTTTTGTAGCATTGATTTCTTCTTTTCATTCTTAGAAAAATCTCCAAAAAATTTGATGTTTTGTGTTCTGTATTATCACCCTCAAATAATAAACAAATATGTGGCAAAGTAAATATTGCTAATTTAATGTAATGATTATGAAATATGGGAATTATTATTAATTATTAGAATAGTGGAGTTCACTTTGCTTATTTATTAATTTTTTTTATTGAATGATTATATCATGTGATGATGATAACGTAATATATTATTATAATGAATATTTACTAGATTTGTTATTCATTTATTTTTATTGAAAAAAAAAATTGGTATAATATCAAATATCATGTATTATATACATTTTGCTTTAATTAATTTATAGTCGGTCATTCTAAAAAATAACATAAAATTAAAAATTTTACATATATTATATTAAAATACTAGTTATTGTTTGTGCCTGAAGGCACATAGTAATAAAAAATGGTAAATAATAAATATATTTGTATTTAGATCCAAAATCAAATCACAAACTTAGAGAAAAGAAAAAAAAATTTAAGCATCGATTTGTAATGGCGGTGAGAGGTGGTGGTGGTAAGAGACAGTGATGGTTGTGGTGGGTGACAATGACCGTGGTGACGGCAAGGGAATCAGTGATGGTGATGGTGATGGTGGCGGCGACGACGATGGCGGTGGTGGCGGTGGTGATGGCGACGACGGTGGTGGTGGCAACGACGGTCATGATGGCGGTGTGGGCGGTGACAGTGATGGTGATGGTGGTGGCGATAGTGGTGGTGGTGACGGCGACGATGACGATGGTGGTGGGGGCGGTGGTGGGATTTGTAGCGGTGACGGCGACGATNGGCCTATTTTTTCTATTAAATTTAGGGTGTTAATATTAGTTGTTAGATTAACTTTAAAGTAAAATTTAAATCAATATCAATTGTGAATAATAAAAATTATTTTGTTTATATTTTGACATTTAAATTATAAACTATTTTATTATAGATATTACTGTAATTATTTAAGGATGTTATAATGAGATGTATTGGATCTCAAGCCACCTGTAGGGACTGGTGTTTTTTTTAATAACACAAATCATTCAGATTGAATCTTCTTTGGTCTTATTATAGCAAAGGAAAAATTTCGACCACTCTTCTTTTACTTTATCATATCTATAAGAATATTTTTTTATTATTAAAAATATTACAAAAAATTTCAATCACATATCTTCCACTTTATTATATCTTTAAAAATATCTCTTTTGTTATCAAAAATATCATCGACACTTTTCTAATTTATATTTAACATCACTATTACTCTCTGTCATTAAACTACTATTTATAAAAAAAATAAATTATCTTAAATATCAAAACTACCTCTACATAAACCATAAACAATCTTTATATATAAAATTTGATTAAAATTCGAACCGATTAAAATTTATTTTTTATATATTAAAATTCGAGATAATTAAATTTTTTTTTCTACATATTAAAATTTGAGTCGATTAAAATTCGATTCGAGCTGATTAAAATGTATATTTTTTTTATTTAGTAAAACTTAATTCAGGTTGATTAAAATTTATTTTTTGAGTCAATTAAACTTTATATTTTTTTATATATCAAAATCAAGCCGATAAAAGTTTATTGTGAGTTGATTAAAATTTGGTTTTCAAATAGAATTTTAACCGTCTCAAATTTTAATATGTAAAAAAATATAATTTTTTAATCTTCTCAAATTTTAATATATAAAGAACAAATTTAATTAACTTAAATCGAATTATAATCAGTTCAAATTTTAATACGTAAAAAATTTTAAAAAATAGAGAAGGTTTTATTGAAGATATATTTATTTAAAAAGGATGCGGATGAAATTTTTTCTAAAATATGATGGACAATTTAATAAATTTGTNATTTTAAAAAATAGAGAAGGTTTTATTGAAGATATATTTATTTAAAAAGGATGCGGATGAAATTTTTTCTAAAATATGATTGATAATTTAATAAATTTCTATTCTAATTAACACTTTTAATCTGATTTTGGGTGTCAGCAAAAATTTTAAAAATAGAAAAAATGTCTATAAAGATATAATAAAAGAAGAAGAATAACTGAAATTTTTTCGAGATTATATTATATTTGGTTTACGCCTAGTCATAGGGTTTTTGAACAGCCATTCAAAAGCTGACAACTCAACAAGTAATGAGTTGCAGTCAAATATAGGATCTTTTCTCTTTCATTCTTGCTTTTCTTCTGCCCTTAAACACACAGACGACGCAGTGTCACAGATGAACGCAACCCTTACCAACCACCGGCCCACCTCCCCTTCTTGGGGAGGGGGGATGTTTGGAAAGAAGAGGACGAAGAAAGTCGGTGGGTTAGCGGTGTGTCACTGTGTGTATATATTATTTGTGTGCGTGTAGTTTGCATGAAGGAGAATAGACAAAATATTTAATAGTGAATTAAAGTAGAGTGTCTCTCAGAATCACTCAAGGTAATTTGAAACATAAAATAGTAATATTAAATGAGATTTTTTTTTATTTTTAGTATTATTTTAAAAAAATAAAAAATATTTTTAATTTTTTTTAAGTAAGAGAGGAGGATATGATACTTTATTTTTGTTTTTTTAAAAGAAAGAAAGAGAGAGAATTGATGTGAGTAAATATGAGTTAATTTTAGAATATTTTTTTATTTGTTTTTAAAATTTTTAATTTTTTAGTTTCTAATGATATCAATTGAATTGTAGGCTCAAATTATTAAAATTATAATTTTTTGATTGGACTTAAATTTTTTGAGGCTTTTTTGTAAGACTTAAAATTTTCATGAATTTAAATTTTTTACGTTGACTAATTATGTATTTAAAATTATGGACCTTTCAAAATTTTGGGCACTATAGCCAGCGCTTTCTTTTTAATGTTGTTGGGCGGGCTGGGCCCTCCTTTTAGTTTTATAAAATTTTTAATATAAAAAAGGATTTTTCGATGTTTGCATGCAGGGTCTCTGTCTTGGCATGAATATTAAGAGATTGATTAGTTTCTGATTTTCGTTACCTATTTTGTCTTTGTCACTTGATTTCAACCTAAAATATAATCTTTATTTTTTTTTTTGACTTTGTTATAGAAGTTTTTGCTATGTTTTTCTATCAATTTTGAAATTCAAAATAGTGAACCAAGAAATTTGGACATTATGATAATATTTGACGATCTATTTTTAGTGTATATGTCTGACAATTTGTGTTTATAAAGAAGAAAATATATTAACGATTTGTAATTTAGTATACCTGTCTGACGATTTGTATTTTAATATACATGTCTGACGATCTGTATTTTATAGAGAAGAAGATACATTAACGATTTGTGTTTATACGGAAGAAGATACATTAACGATCTATATTTTATTGTACATATTTGACGATATGTGTTTTAATATATCTGTCTGACGATTATNCACACTTTCAATGGTGGAATTCCACCCAGAATGCGTTAAGAACCCTCCGACCGATGGGTGGCTCAGAACTTGTTCTTGATGACACCAGCTTGCTAGTAGACCCCTTTCTTTTGTCTCCGTCACAAACTCCGGCGGTAAAATTGCCGAGTCGCCGATGACTAAATCGGGCCTTATAATCCATAAAAATGTCTGATTGCTATTAGCAAGTCCCCAACAAAATTCAATGAGTTGTTGGGGTGTCATCACTGTGACACTGCCAAAATTCACGTAAACAACTGAGTTGGGCTTTTTTGAGTCAAGCCATGATAGACACTCTGGTTCTTCTTTCCAAAGACTTGTGCCAATAGATTTTAAATTGTCCTCTGGGGCTTGATTTAGGAGTAATTGAAGAGGCCCAATGGTGTACATGAAAGGAAATATGGAAGAAAGTGCCTCTAAAACATCAGGCTCTAGAGCATTGAATGTGTTCAAAATGAGTGCTGAAGCTTTATGAACTCCCTCAACTTCATCCATTGCGAAATTTAGCATTATATCATTTGGATCTGTGGTTCTGATAAAACTCGGGAGATCCTTCAAGCGTATATCATTCATGCCCGGTATCCAGTCTATGACTGTATCTAGATAACCATTTGTTAGACAACTCATCTCTGCATTTCACAAAAATTAGGACGATTTTAGAATTCAAACTCATATACAATTCAACATAAACAAATGTTTTATTTTTTCTCACACTATTTATTCCAAGGTTTACACTTATCAAAGTATGGATGGTTTTTCAAAACTTAGGAGTACTGAAAAGATATAAAAACGTGTTCTAAAAGCGCCCTTTTTACTGAAAAAAACCTTCAAAGCATGTTTTAAATATATTTTTTGATTGGAAAAAAAACGATTTTTGGTAAATGTCATGGAACCAGAAAAGAGGATTTGGCTATAGTTATTTACCATACCTTTGAGTGGTGCAAAACCCTTTTCGACTAGTTGACGATACTGAACATAACCCATGAAGCCACAAGCACTGGTAGTCCAAAACAGAACATTAGGGATACCAAGTTCTTCCGAAGCTTTGAGAGTGAAGCTCATAATTCCGTCGGAAACTATGCGGGTGATCGGAGGGACACCAGAGGAAGAACTGTTGTTGAGTTTGAAGAGAAGGTCTCTAAAGGGAGCCAAGCAGTTCTTACTGGTGGAGTCACAGAGGGACGGGACGTCTTGGGTGGCGTCGGCATCGGAAGGAGGGAGGCCGTCGGGAATGGTCTCGAACCGGAAGGAGGCGAGGCCGGCGAGGGCGTTGGGGCCCCTGGATTTCAGTAGTCGCCGGTGGTTGTACTCTGTGTTGACAAAGGTTATGTGAAAGCCCCTATGGTGAAGGAGCTTGGCTAGTTTGAACATGGGGTTTATGTGGCCTTGAGCTGGAAATGGTATGCACACCGCATGAGGGAGAGAGTTCTCATTTTGCACCAAGGAGCCCATCTCTCTCTCGGATGTGTGTGTGCTATAAATGTGAACCAGTGGCTAGCTCTTTTTTATATAGCCCCAGAAAATATTATGTGGAGGGTACAATACTGACATGTATATCTATAATATAAAATAGAGCGGGAGTTCAACAAGTCGATCGTACGGTCTTCATCCATCTAAAGACTTTAACATCTAAAGGCTCATAATACATCTCATTCAAATTCAAAAGTCCATATATTTTTCCCCTAAATTCATCTCATTCAACTTAACTCAATCTAACCATCACATTCAACCCAACTTAACTAAACTCAATCAACCCAACCCAACCCAATATCTGTATCCGAATAACACCAGCAACACCACCAGAGAGCCATCCTTTTTCTCAGACAAGTCATACCTTCTCTCTCTCTCTCTTTGTTACGCTCCAGTGACGCAACGAGGAATACCAGAAACACCACCACCATCGCCACTTCGTCTGCAACACCACCACATCCCCAGCTACACAGCCAGCCTCTGCCATGTCTCCCTCTCTCTGCAGTCGCCCATGTACCCCTCTTCCTCTCTCTCTCTTTCTCTCTCTGCCCTTCACCCACTCCTAGAATGTTGTCTTATTGGGAATATACATTGTGTAATCTAAAGGAAAGAATGTGGGTGTATTAAAGACTTTCTTACTGTTAGAAACTAATAAAAGAATGATTCTTTTGGGCTTACTGAAAGGAGCCCTGCGAGGGACACCCTTCCTCTTTCGAAATCGACCCTTTGGCTTGGTGTGCTGAACTCACCAGATTTTCTTATTGTGCTGAACTCACAATGGCTTGGTTTTCTCTTGATGATTCATGTTCATTTTTATCCCTTTCCGAGTCAGGGCCTTGCNGGGGGTACATGTCTTATGATTTGTTTTTATGAAAAAATATAATACATTATGATAACCTAGTTTTTTATAATCGTAAAATGCGTTAGTTATATTCATTATTTTAATTTTTCCTCTGGGGCCTAATTCAAATAAAAATTGACTACTGGGTTTATTTTGAAATCCTATTGGGCCTATGAATTTGCCTCGAAATCACTCAATATTTAATTGTGGCTCACTATTGTTGAGTCAGTCAATTTTTGAATGACTGTCTACAAACCCAATGGATTGCAGAAAATATAATCACCTGGAGTTGATTACAGTACCGGATTTTTTTTCCAGTAGCATACCTCTTGATGATATCCAAAATATGTTTAAGGTTGAGTTTGGTCGATCAACTTGGATCACTCAACTCATCGCAAAGATCAAGGGAAGCTTTGGCGTAACGGACTTACATTTGGGCAAGAAAGTCATAACCGTATCTACGATGTCCGTTGCAATTGCATGAAAGACACAACCGTTACAAAAAAAAAGTAAGGATCACACTAATGATTAGATAAGGCTTTAGAAGACTATAAATAAGAGGATTGTTCCTCGTAATAAAAACACAAATAACTAGCTTTAGCAAATACCTTGTGCAATCTTCTCCCTTTGATCAATAAAATCTTAAGGAGCAAAATTTTTTTTTCAGAGTAGATTAACCTAACTCTCAAGTTAGTGAACCATTATAAATACTTTGTGTCACATCCCCCATCTCCCTTGTTCAAATCTTAAAAGTCTAGAAGCTCTAACAGACTTGTTTAATGACTCATTAATCTCTAAACGTCATAAGTTCTGTTCAATTATGTAACACACACCATCACCTCTATTTATCATATTTATAGTTATTTTTATCATATTTATGAATTATTTTATCACTGTAGTGATATCAAAAAATAAAAATAAAAATAATTATCACAAATATGATAAAAATACCCATCTCACCGCATGAAGATGACGCCCACATCCCAAGCCACAGATAAGAATCCCACCGACCCTCAAGCAGCACCACAACCACCAGCTTGAGGTGACGATGACAGCACCAGCGACGACCCATTCCCTATGTGATCCAATGGTGACAAATAATTATCATAACAATAATAAAAATGTTCAGAGATAAATTTTTTGATTATAAAATACCTTACAAAAACTATAAGGAAAATGTCATTTTGACCAAATTTTGAAATCTAATAATGTATAACTATTAAATTGGTTAGAGATTCCATCTAACATTAGAAATTATAACTAACCTAATGATTACAATGAAATTAAATTATTATATTCTTAAATAAAATTCTTAAATAAGGTCCTATAGGATTACTCTGATTGCAAAAATAACTATTGAAATAAAAAATTTAGGAGGCGTGGTATTGAATTGAATGTTCATATAAAAAACCATCATATTTAAAAATATAAAATTTATATTATGCACTTATAAATTTATTATTGAATAATTAAACTACATGGCAATAATAACTTGGTAACAGCCAATACCCATAACATTATTCAAAAAGAAGAGAGATTTTTAAGCATTGAAATTGAGCACCTCGCTAACTATTTTCTCGAAATTAATGGACGATGACCCACTTGAAGCAGTGGCCTCTTCTGCCAACTTCTTCAAGTCCATTGTCTTTTTCTTCATCTCTCTACCCTTCTCCCCAACCATCAACTCCCTCACAAGGCCCTCAATTTTCTCCCTCCTAACATCACTCTCAATCTCCATCCCAGTCCCCCAACGACTACAACAATACAAGCAATTGGTTTGTTGCTCTGCAAAGAAAGGCCAACATATCATGGGCACACCTCCACACACACTTTCAATGGTGGAATTCCACCCAGAATGCGTTAAGAACCCTCCGACCGATGGGTGGCTCAGAACTTGTTCTTGATGACACCAGCTTGCTAGTAGACCCCTTTCTTTTGTCTCCGTCACAAACTCCGGCGGTAAAATTGCCGAGTCGCCGATGACTAAATCGGGCCTTATAATCCATAAAAATGTCTGATTGCTATTAGCAAGTCCCCAACAAAATTCAATGAGTTGTTGGGGTGTCATCACTGTGACACTGCCAAAATTCACGTAAACAACTGAGTTGGGCTTTTTTGAGTCAAGCCATGATAGACACTCTGGTTCTTCTTTCCAAAGACTTGTGCCAATAGATTTTAAATTGTCCTCTGGGGCTTGATTTAGGAGTAATTGAAGAGGCCCAATGGTGTACATGAAAGGAAATATGGAAGAAAGTGCCTCTAAAACATCAGGCTCTAGAGCATTGAATGTGTTCAAAATGAGTGCTGAAGCTTTATGAACTCCCTCAACTTCATCCATTGCGAAATTTAGCATTATATCATTTGGATCTGTGGTTCTGATAAAACTCGGGAGATCCTTCAAGCGTATATCATTCATGCCCGGTATCCAGTCTATGACTGTATCTAGATAACCATTTGTTAGACAACTCATCTCTGCATTTCACAAAAATTAGGACGATTTTAGAATTCAAACTCATATACAATTCAACATAAACAAATGTTTTATTTTTTCTCACACTATTTATTCCAAGGTTTACACTTATCAAAGTATGGATGGTTTTTCAAAACTTAGGAGTACTGAAAAGATATAAAAACGTGTTCTAAAAGCGCCCTTTTTACTGAAAAAAACCTTCAAAGCATGTTTTAAATATATTTTTTGATTGGAAAAAAAACGATTTTTGGTAAATGTCATGGAACCAGAAAAGAGGATTTGGCTATAGTTATTTACCATACCTTTGAGTGGTGCAAAACCCTTTTCGACTAGTTGACGATACTGAACATAACCCATGAAGCCACAAGCACTGGTAGTCCAAAACAGAACATTAGGGATACCAAGTTCTTCCGAAGCTTTGAGAGTGAAGCTCATAATTCCGTCGGAAACTATGCGGGTGATCGGAGGGACACCAGAGGAAGAACTGTTGTTGAGTTTGAAGAGAAGGTCTCTAAAGGGAGCCAAGCAGTTCTTACTGGTGGAGTCACAGAGGGACGGGACGTCTTGGGTGGCGTCGGCATCGGAAGGAGGGAGGCCGTCGGGAATGGTCTCGAACCGGAAGGAGGGGAGGCCGGCGAGGGCGTTGGGGCCCCTGGATTTCAGTAGTCGCCGGTGGTTGTACTCTGTGTTGACAAAGGTTATGTGAAAGCCCCTATGGTGAAGGAGCTTGGCTAGTTTGAACATGGGGTTTATGTGGCCTTGAGCTGGAAATGGTATGCACACCGCATGAGGGAGAGAGTTCTCATTTTGCACCAAGGAGCCCATCTCTCTCTCGGATGTGTGTGTGCTATAAATGTGAACCAGTGGCTAGCTCTTTTTTATATAGCCCCAGAAAATATTATGTGGAGGGTAAAATACTGACATGTATATCTATAATATAAAATAGAGCGGGCCTTCAATAAGTCGATCGTACGGTCTTCATTCATCTAAAGGTTTTAACATCTAAAGACTCACAATACATCTCATTCAAATTCAAAAGTCCATATATTTTCCCTCTAAATTCATCTCATTCAACTTAACTCAACCTAACTANTGTAACACACACCATCACCTCTATTTATCATATTTATAGTTATTTTTATCATATTTATGAATTATTTTATCACTGTAGTGATATCAAAAAATAAAAATAAAAATAATTATCACAAATATGATAAAAATACCCATCTCACCGCATGAAGATGACGCCCACATCCCAAGCCACAGATAAGAATCCCACCGACCCTCAAGCAGCACCACAACCACCAGCTTGAGGTGACGATGACAGCACCAGCGACGACCCATTCCCTATGTGATCCAATGGTGACAAATAATTATCATAACAATAATAAAAATGTTCAGAGATAAATTTTTTGATTATAAAATACCTTACAAAAACTATAAGGAAAATGTCATTTTGACCAAATTTTGAAATCTAATAATGTATAACTATTAAATTGGTTAGAGATTCCATCTAACATTAGAAATTATAACTAACCTAATGATTACAATGAAATTAAATTATTATATTCTTAAATAAAATTCTTAAATAAGGTCCTATAGGATTACTCTGATTGCAAAAATAACTATTGAAATAAAAAATTTAGGAGGCGTGGTATTGAATTGAATGTTCATATAAAAAACCATCATATTTAAAAATATAAAATTTATATTATGCACTTATAAATTTATTATTGAATAATTAAACTACATGGCAATAATAACTTGGTAACAGCCAATACCCATAACATTATTCAAAAAGAAGAGAGATTTTTAAGCATTGAAATTGAGCACCTCGCTAACTATTTTCTCGAAATTAATGGACGATGACCCACTTGAAGCAGTGGCCTCTTCTGCCAACTTCTTCAAGTCCATTGTCTTTTTCTTCATCTCTCTACCCTTCTCCCCAACCATCAACTCCCTCACAAGGCCCTCAATTTTCTCCCTCCTAACATCACTCTCAATCTCCATCCCAGTCCCCCAACGACTACAACAATACAAACAATTGGTTTGTTGCTCTGCAAAGAAAGGCCAACATATCATGGGCACACCTCCACACACACTTTCAATGGTGGAATTCCACCCAGAATGCGTTAAGAACCCTCCGACCGATGGGTGGCTCAGAACTTGTTCTTGATGACACCAGCTTGCTAGTAGACCCCTTTCTTTTGTCTCCGTCACAAACTCCGGCGGTAAAATTGCCGAGTCGCCGATGACTAAATCGGGCCTTATAATCCATAAAAATGTCTGATTGCTATTAGCAAGTCCCCAACAAAATTCAATGAGTTGTTGGGGTGTCATCACTGTGACACTGCCAAAATTCACGTAAACAACTGAGTTGGGCTTTTTTGAGTCAAGCCATGATAGACACTCTGGTTCTTCTTTCCAAAGACTTGTGCCAATAGATTTTAAATTGTCCTCTGGGGCTTGATTTAGGAGTAATTGAAGAGGCCCAATGGTGTACATGAAAGGAAATATGGAAGAAAGTGCCTCTAAAACATCAGGCTCTAGAGCATTGAATGTGTTCAAAATGAGTGCTGAAGCTTTATGAACTCCCTCAACTTCATCCATTGCGAAATTTAGCATTATATCATTTGGATCTGTGGTTCTGATAAAACTCGGGAGATCCTTCAAGCGTATATCATTCATGCCCGGTATCCAGTCTATGACTGTATCTAGATAACCATTTGTTAGACAACTCATCTCTGCATTTCACAAAAATTAGGACGATTTTAGAATTCAAACTCATATACAATTCAACATAAACAAATGTTTTATTTTTTCTCACACTATTTATTCCAAGGTTTACACTTATCAAAGTATGGATGGTTTTTCAAAACTTAGGAGTACTGAAAACATATAAAAACGTGTTCTAAAAGCGCCCTTTTTACTGAAAAAAACCTTCAAAGCATGTTTTAAATATATTTTTTGATTGGAAAACAAACGATTTTTGGTAAATGTCATGGAACCAGAAAAGAGGATTTGGCTATAGTTATTTACCATACCTTTGAGTGGTGCAAAACCCTTTTCGACTAGTTGACGATACTGAACATAACCCATGAAGCCACAAGCACTGGTAGTCCAAAACAGAACATTAGGGATACCAAGTTCTTCCGAAGCTTTGAGAGTGAAGCTCATAATTCCGTCGGAAACTATGCGGGTGATCGGAGGGACACCAGAGGAAGAACTGTTGTTGAGTTTGAAGAGAAGGTCTCTAAAGGGAGCCAAGCAGTTCTTACTGGTGGAGTCACAGAGGGACGGGACGTCTTGGGTGGCGTCGGCATCGGAAGGAGGGAGGCCGTCGGGAATGGTCTCGAACCGGAAGGAGGGGAGGCCGGCGAGGGCGTTGGGGCCCCTGGATTTCAGTAGTCGCCGGTGGTTGTACTCTGTGTTGACAAAGGTTATGTGAAAGCCCCTATGGTGAAGGAGCTTGGCTAGTTTGAACATGGGGTTTATGTGGCCTTGAGCTGGAAATGGTATGCACACCGCATGAGGGAGAGAGTTCTCATTTTGCACCAAGGAGCCCATCTCTCTCTCGGATGTGTGTGTGCTATAAATGTGAACCAGTGGCTAGCTCTTTTTTATATAGCCCCAGAAAATATTATGTGGAGGGTACAATACTGACATGTATATCTATAATATAAAATAGAGCGGGCCTTCAATAAGTCGATCGTACGGTCTTCATTCATCTAAAGGTTTTAACATCTAAAGACTCACAATACATCTCATTCAAATTCAAAAGTCCATATATTTTCCCTCTAAATTCATCTCATTCAACTTAACTCAACCTAACTATCACATCCAACCCAACTTAACTAAACTCAATCAACCCAACCCAACCCAATATCTGTATCCGAATAACACCAGCAACACCACCAGAGAGCCATCCCTTTTCTCAGACAAGCCATACCTTCTCTCTCTCTCTTTGTTACGCTCCAGTGACGCAACGAGGAACACCAGAAACACCACCACCATCGCCACTTCATCTGCAACACCACCACATCCCCAGCTACACAGCCAGCCTCTGCCATGTCTCCCTCTCTCTGCAGTCGCCCATGTACCCCTCTTCCTCTCTCTCTTTCTCTCTCTGCCCTTCACCCACTCCTAGAATGTTGTCTTATTGGGAATATACCTTGTGTAATCTAAAGGAAAGAATGTGGGTGTATTAAAGATTTTCTTACTGTTAGAAACTAATAAAAGAATGATTCTTTTGGGCTTACTGAAAGGAGCCCTGCGAGGGACACCCTTCCTCTTTCGAAATCGCCCCTTTGGCTTGGTGTGCTGAACTCACCAGATTTTCTTGCTGTGTTGAACTCACAATGGCTTGGTTTTCTCTTGATGATTCATGTTCATTTTTATCCCTTTCCGAGTCAGGGCCTTGCTTCTCAGACAGACAATCAAATTCAAGAACCGGGATTGCAATCATCTCTTGGCTCTGGTCTTTACACAAGATCTGTGAAGAATCTATCAATACCTAAATATTCATAATTTTCCATGACACGTTGACAAGCTTAACTATTATGTAGGAAATGGAGATCAAGTAATTAATGAACTTGTGAAAATGTGTTCATCATCATTATTTACCTTGCAAGCAACAGAGCAAAAGCAGTTAGGCAAGGCTTGGATATTCCTCCCACAACCTTCATAGGATGCACCAGTAGCAGTAGTACTCTTTGATTTCAATGGTGTGCTATGTTTTGATCCAGGGGTAGGATTTAAATGCACGGTTTTTTCTCCATTGGCTTTGAATGTCTGTGAAAGCATATCTATATCTGTAAATAAATTTTATTTCTAAACCAAACAAGGAATTTAAACAATGATTAAAGAAAAAATCTCATTAAATTCAATCATATGGGTAGAACAATTCAAGTGAATTAAAACCTCATTTATAATTGACACATCAGATAAATACAGCTAACTACAGAGATCAAAACACTCTAGTGAACCCTTTAAATCCCACCCATTACGCTCTAGTGAACCCTCATCGATCAGCAAACCTCCAACCCTACCAGTCCCCCTAAGCCATCAAGTTATGTCTATTTTATCTCTCTCTTCCCCTCCCTGATCCTCTCCTTCCCCTTTCTCTATATTTCTCACAAAAAATTCGTTATTTTAGGCACTGTATATACTGTGTAAACTGGTGGCTTTTATAAATTTTGAATTTATGTTTTCAAACTATTTGTTGTTTTGGCTCAATGAAAGAAAAACATAATTTAGACCCTTAAAAATTGATCTTTTGATTTTGTTCTCAACAACGTGCCAGCCCATATGATAGAATGCCAAGTTCATGGTCTAAGACTTTATAAGTCTTGAAATTGTTAGATCTATTCTATAATGGGTTCCTAATTCTTTAATGATTTGTTGGTGGTGGCTGATAAAATTTGTTTGGCGGAGCTTTAAGATTAGTGTAAATTATTATTTTATGGTATAGTGACGATGCCACTTGCTCTTGGATAACTCTCCTTTTTTTGATAAAAAGCTACAAGTAAATGTGTTTTATGTGGGTAATGGGTTGTTTGATTTTTGCATAATTCCTTGGATTTTCATTGTTTTATACAGGTTCCAAAGTGGCCTGAAAAAGGTTCCTTTAGCTGAATACAGGTTACAGAGTTCAGGTACGTAATTGATCCACTTTGCTTTGTATAGGATTGTTGTTTAAGGTGAACAAAATTGGTTTGGGCAGTGAATTTTAAAGATTTTTAGGTTGAAAGGGCAGTTTAAATTCTTGATTTCAATCTCTTTGTTGTTATGAAGCAATAAGCATGATTTGTCTAAAATATGATTACTCACTTTTTGAACTTCGCCAGTCAAAAGAGCTATAGGTTCTGAAAATTAAATTTTAGAACCAAAAAACCTAGAAAGTTTAACGAGAAAAAAAAAGTAGTCATTTTTAATGTTCAATTGAGTTTTAATTTAATCTCTATGTGTCTACTGTCAATAATTTGGAGCTTGCTCACAAGATGTTTGAAAACATGTCTGACAAGGATTTGATTTGTTGAAATGTGATGATTATTGGGTGTGATGATTAACATCCTTTTTTTGCTATCTCATTTCTATGTGTTTTCTTCTTCATTTCTTTGTCTAAATCTTTAGGCCTTGGCTAGAAAATTTTAAGCCTCCACTAATTTATGAGGTATTGACCTAATGGTTGTATAGGAGCTTACAAGAGGTTAGTGTTAATTGGTCTCAACTAAGCTTATTCGGTAGGTAGGGCTACCTATTTTCGCCTTTCCTATTCATCTTCTTTTCTTTTTGTTTGCTATTTTATTTGGGTGAAATATGATTCTGAGTTATTTGGTGAAATATGATTCTGAGTTAAACTAACAATAGATAATTATTTTTGTTTATCGCAAAAGGAGGGTAGTTATCTAATTTTTTTTTTAAACTTAAACTATGCAATAATTTCTCTTTCTATGAAATTATGTTACCTATTTGAGCTAAGTAATTTCAGTGGACTAAAGGCTTAGATGACTCCTTGAATAAGGAATGATGATATCTAGAGTGTTTTTGAATTTAGAGTCTGATTTGTAGGATTAGTACTTTAGTACTTTAGTCTTTATTCTTTAGTTTAGGAATAATTTCCTAAAATAATAAAGTCATAATATTATTACTTTTGTTGATATGGAATCCTATGAACATTACTTTTATTTTTGCCTAATCCTGTTAAGTCTATTGTGAATTTTTTTTTAGTTTCTTTGGTGTTGTTGAATTATAGTCTTTTTTTTTTTTTGATTTTGTAGTTGGTATGGAAAAATTATTGTTGAATTTTTTATATCCCCCTGAGAGTTTTGTTTTTATTAGCATACTGTTATTGAGATTAATAATTGATAATTTTTCATTATTTGTAGGTCAAATGAGTATGGTGGTGTCGTATTGATTTCTTAATCTTGAGAAGGTATAAATCTTTATCCCCTACAAATTGTCCCGATCATCAACAGTTTGAACGCACTCAAATTCGACTTATTTGGTTGAAATAAATAACTTATTCACTTACTTGAAATGTTTTGGTTTTTTGGATTTTGCAAAATTAAGAACTTTAACACTTTGCGCTTTAATAAGATCGTCGTTTAGGATTTACAACAAAAAATATGGCACTTTACAAGGAAAAATTTATAGTTGGTGTACATTATTGTCAGTCCCTTATGCTTCATAACTATTGTTAACGATTGTTGTAGCTCAATTTTTATAAGTACTCCTTTTTTTTTCTTAGCCTGCATTGTTAATAAAACAAAGTATTTTAATGTTGATGTTTTTAGACTTTCTTGGCTTACAAGTATTTTCATGTGTTTTATTTTCACTGGCAGGTAGCTGACGTGCTTGATCACATCTGTTTTGAGTTGAAAATTTGGGCTATTAGGTATATAGTTTCAAATATATGAATTTTATGCTATTTCAATTTACATTTTTTGCATTTTGATTAATAAAATTAGGTTTTCTCCATCTCTCTATTGTAATTTGTATTCAAAAGAATATTTATATTGATAATACTNATGGTTATGTGTTGTTGATCAGGGGGAATTGATTGTGACCTGTGTATGTTATGTTATATGATATTGTGCATAATGAATTACGAAAAATAACTGTGTTTTTGTACAATTACTATATTTGCTTTGGCAAGGTACCACCAACACCCTGACATCTTTCTCACTATGAAGGCCAACCCAAAATGGCCTGAAATAATANTGTGTGTGTTTAAAGGATGTTTTAGATGGAGAAAGCTAAATTTGGGTTTTGAAGTGAGCATTCGATATCCATGCTAAATTATCTATTGACTTAAACTATAATGAATTGGAGCTTATTTACATGACTTAAGAAGTGGCCTNCGTCCAGACATAGTTGCCCGTGTATTTGAGTTAAAACGGCGTGCCCTGATGTATGAGGTAAAAAGTGAACAAATTTTTGGTCGAAAAGTTGCTCATGTATTCACCATTGAGTTCCAAAAATGGGGGTTACCAAACATGCATGCTTTATTCTTCCTTAATGGTCCAGACAAGATTCAGACAATTGCACAAGTTGATCGGTTAGTTAGGGCTGAATTCCCATANTATCCTCAGTATCTTGTCATTTAGGTGGTTTATGGTTTAGAATTTTTGCTATTTGTTTACAAAAAATAATAGGCACTTATGGATAAATTAATACGAGAATTTGATTATTTTTGTGAATATTGAGATTTTTGAGTTGTAATATTAATTTAATTTGGTTCAAATGAGTATTTGTGTTGTGACCAGTTTAATAAACAAAACAATAAAATGAAACAAAAGAAAAGAATACCATTTTGAAACTCAAGTCCTGTGTGTTGTTTTAATTTTTTTTAATGAATTAACTTCAAGGTCAATTTTTTGAAACTGTAAGTTTTTCTTTCCCATAGAATTAATTTCTTTAGATGTTCTTAAAATATTTGTTTTGTGGGATTGTTAAAGGCCATTNCTGTGTGTTGTTTTAATTTTTTTTAATGAATTAACTTCAAGGTCAATTTTTTGAAACTGTAAGTTTTTCTTTCCCATAGAATTAATTTCTTTAGATGTTCTTAAAATATTTGTTTTGTGGGATTGTTAGAGGCCAATTATGGAATGTGGTGGCGAATGATGGTGACATGGAGGTGGTGAATAACAAATGGGTGATGAGGTCTCTAATTTTGTGGTCTCTAATTTCGTGGTCTCTAATTTCTAATAGGCATTGTGGTATGCTTTTGGGATCCTTTTTTTGGAGGAAAGTTGTCCAAATTGTTTCGAGTTTATTAGACCCATAAACTTATTTGGTCTCTTAAATGCATTATTTGGGCTTCTTTCCTTTCTAATACTCAGTTTTTAATTGCTGATTTTTTTATTACATTATGCCTTCAGATATGAGACATTAAATATGTTGTTATTGTCTTTATAGGGATAAAGGATGTTGTCCAATGAAGGGAGTTTTTTTTCTTCTATCAAATCCATTAGTCAAGGTGAGTGTATGTAAGAAGGGAATCATTGGTTTGAACTATATTTAGTACTGAACATCCACTGTTATGAATAAATGTGAATTATACTGATATACGATTTTTGATATACCTTTAAAAAAGAGTATGTGCCAAGTATTGTGTAAATTGGAATGATGGAACACAATATAAGATATGGTTATGTGTTGTTGATCAGGGGGAATTGATTGTGACCTGTGTATGTTATGTTATATGATATTGTGCATAATGAATTACGAAAAATAACTGTGTTTTTGTACAATTACTATATTTGCTTTGGCAAGGTACCACCAACACCCTGACATCTTTCTCACTATGAAGGCCAACCCAAAATGGCCTGAAATAATAGCTGTCTTACTAGAACACCAAACCTCTTTGGATCGTCCAGACATAGTTGCCCGTGTATTTGAGTTAAAACGGCGTGCCCTGATGTATGAGGTAAAAAGTGAACAAATTTTTGGTCGAAAAGTTGCTCATGTATTCACCATTGAGTTCCAAAAATGGGGGTTACCAAACATGCATGCTTTATTCTTCCTTAATGGTCCAGACAAGATTCAGACAATTGCACAAGTTGATCGGTTAGTTAGGGCTGAATTCCCATATCCATCCACTGATCCAAGTCTCTACGAAACAATCAAGAGTTGTATGGTTCATGGTCCGTGTGGTTCTCGAAACCCACATTCAACTTTCATGGTGAACGGTGCGTGTCGGTTCCATTATCCAAAAGCCTTTGCAGATTCGACTACTATGGATGAACATGGGTACCCTGTTTACCGTCGTCGACGTAATGGTCAGTCTTACACCACCAGAG